ACAAAGCACAAGATACATATAAGTTATCTATTGTTCTTCCCCACATCCATTTATCCTTCTCTGCCTGTGCCTTGTTCCAGCAAGGATTTCAGTCTTCAGAGCATATTCTACACCATTTAATTTGCTTGAGAGGTGGATGTTCTGCAAAAAAAAAAAAAACGCACACACCAAGGCCAACAAACAGTCTTAATTAAAATAAGCAGTTATATAGTCAAGTAGACTTGGAAACTGCTGGCCTCAAGCAGATATTCGCAAGTGTTTGAGAAAGAAGCTGCTGAAAACATGCAGTTTTCAAAACTTAAATATCTAAACAACAATTTGTGAAATTATGCGGCAAATATTTGACTCATCTACAAAGAGCACAAAATTCCATAAGCTCATCATACAGAAGAGGCCAGTGCCCAAATGCCAGCTGCATTCACTTTTAGGAAAATCCTCATCTGGCAATCAAAGTAAACTCACTGAATGTGAGGTGTGGGTGGGTTGGTGGTTTTGGGGTTTTATTGGAATACACCTAAGGTTCTGCAATTAAGTCTCTGTGTATCTAAATCAGAATGGCTTCATCTCCACAGGCACTACGTATAAATTCACGTTTCATACGTCACATGAGAAAGCTCATAACTTCTAAAATTAGAGCACATGATCCAGGTGCCCCGACAAGTATTCAGATACTTAAATTTACAGCATCTCTCGGAATAGTTTGACCTGATTAGACACAACAAGAGCCACCAAGAGAGCAAGTCTAGGACATCTGATTTAACTGATGATGGTTTGCTCTAAAACACCACACAGCAAACTGCATCAGGTCAGCTCCTAATTTCCAAGCTCTTTGCGCCTATGAAGCAGAAAGAAACTTTATTATATACCCCAAAATAAGCAGTCCAGTCTCATCCACCTGAATCATGTCAACGTAGCCTATTTCTTTTAACTGCTGTATGCTAACTTTCACCTCAGTCCTCTCGAGATCACAGGCTGGTTTGCTGGGGCCTTCATCCTGAAGGGAATCGCACAGGCAGGTCTAAGCACCCACTGGGAGGTACCGTGAAGCCTGCAGACGTCTGCACTGGTGTCCCACGAGGACAGAGCAGGATGAAGAAGGCTGTGCAACACGCGTTTCAATAGAACACCTCACTGCAGCGATTAGATATGTGCACCTATCAGACTATAACCCCACCTGAACCCAAACTATAACACCTGGAACCCTAGCTTTGGTACCCAAATCTTGAAATCTGAAGTGCTGAGACTTAACCCTTTGCAAGGCTCAACTCTTGAACAGTCTGTTGCACACAGCTGTGCCAACTCTGCTTTCATGCTACACGTGCAGAAGTTTCTACGGTAAATACACGAGTGTAAAGCACTGGTCAGCAATTCACTTGGTTTCCAAACAAGAGCTTCTTTGTTTCCAGTTACTTCCATGGACAAGGGCAACAAGTCTGCCAAGCTTGCAAACGTGAGGCAGAAGCAATGTATGTGAAAGATGTCAAAGCACTAACTCTTGCCATCAGAGCCGAGTACTGGCTACCTCTGGAGCTAGAGGGAAAACAAAGGTAAGAGAAGAACACTGATGCAAGTAACTACTATGGGACGATGACAGCCCTCCCTCTGCAGGTAGAGGATACCTCAGGTTACCTGTTACACTCGTAACTTCTGCGATGAGGTGATATCCTTCCTCTCTCATAATCTGTCCGGTGACGACTGCTTTCCTGCCTCCTCCTATCGGGGCTCCGGCCTCGATCCCGACGATCCCCATGGTTAGTGGACCGGTGCCTGTCACCGTGGATGTGACCATGTTCACGATGCCGGTGCTCATCATAGTGCTTGCTTCTCTCTGGGGACCGCCGATCGCTCTGCGACTTCTCTCCCTGGTACTGACCCGTGTGCCGAAAATGGCTGCTGCTGCCACCACTGCTGTTGGCGGCGCTGCTCTGAAAGGAGCCCGAGTTGTGCTGATAGCTACCGAAGCTCGGCGGCGGGAAGGACTGCTGCGAATACCCTGCGGAGTAGACAGGCTGGTAGTTGACTTGCTGTGGTATGACTGGTGGGGGGGGAGGATGCGGTACCGTGGGAGGAGGCATCATGTAAGGAAAGGTGCTTTGCCCAGCAGGAGTTCCTGGCACGGGAGCGTTGCTAGGATTTGGCACAGGTGGAGGAGTAGGAGGAAAGCACGGAGGCACTGGGAAGCTCTGCCTCATCTGGTGGTTTGGAAACGGTGGCCTCATGGGACACTGGCTGATGGGATTCTGCGTGGAAGGGGGCACTGGAGGAGGATAGGGCACAAAGTCTGGCCTGGGAGGCATGTAACCAGTGGTTGGAGGGTTGGAATAGGTTGTTGGAGGGGCAGTTTGCTGGTCATACTGGTATTGTACAGAGGGCTGCTGCGGGTGAAGCTGCCGTAGGTTCTGAGGGCGGTACGTCTGTGTTGAAGTTCTTGCTCCTGCTCCACCCTGACCACGGGGACATCCTCGCCCAGAATGGAAGGACATGGCTCACCTTTAATGAGGAAAATAAAAACTCAGCGTCACACAATTTTTGTAGGATGCCCTTAATGCACTTGCAGGACCTACTCCTGAAGTGTTGAAATGACAGTTCCTGCAGTTTCCTTTGACAGAAGCAGTGAACGATGCTCACTGTCTTTCCCTGTGATCTTTGTGCTCCTCAGACCTCCAGTATGGGTCATGTATGCCCCTTTGATCCCTTTCAGCCTCTAATCCACAAAAGCACTCTACGGTCTTTAATCCTGAACCCACACTGGCCCGCACTCTCTGACTTAGGGCAATGCTGATTTCAACATGAGTGACTTGATGGCTGGCCAAGGATACAAGTGCCTCTACTAGTGCTCACTGGACACTTGGACACAAAGCCTTCAGATACCCACACCAAAGAAACCACTCCTTTTAACACCTGCGCTTGTCACCCAAAGTCCCATAATGAGTCGTCCTCTCCAGAACAAGGCTCTCAACTTCAGGCAGGATGACTTTACTAACCCCTTATTCCAACTTACCTGGTCTGATAAATCATGTACATTTTCAATGAGCTAGTAGCAATTTACATTCATAATTGAGACCCCAATTTAGTAAAACACTGAATTCAAAAGCAATTTCAAAGTAATTTAAGTTCAGTAGGTATATTTTTGTGGATCGAGAAACAAGTTACAGAAAAAAAATGATTATGACTGTGATTATGAAACGTGAAACTGACATAGATGATTCCCAAAAAAAAAAACCCTCCAGCTGCCTGCTTGGCCCGGATACCTTTCCTGCCTGCCACTGCTTCAAGTAGGCTTAAGTCTTGCTCAAAACTATGCATGTGTTTAAGGCACTGCATTCATGTTTATAAATGAAAACCACTGTGCTTCATTAAAGTTAAAATTCATTCTTTAATTACAACATTAAGTTTCAAAAACTGGAAAAAAGAAAAAAATTAAAATTAACAAAAAATCATTTGTGGTGTCTTGGCTGGAATGGAGTGATAGAAAAAAAAATATAATTATTTAGGCAGCCACAGAAGTCAAATCCTGCCTTCCACAAGGAGAAGGGAGAGAAAGAAAGGAGACACACACGCAATTGGAAGGATCACAAAGAAAAGAAAGATCCCTTTTACTGAGGCTTTGCTGATGTTGAAGTACAAACACAGAACATTCTCCCACCCGCCGCCAAGCAACAGGGCCAACCTGGACTGCTCAGAGCACTGCACTGTTTTCCACTGCGTTCTGGTGCCCGTGCTGCAGATGATGTGGCTTGCTGAGAGACAGGAGATGATTTCTGGTGAACCAGAGGGAGAAAGGGAAAGAAATGATGGGGGAAAGGACAGACAACAAGGAGGACAAACCAAGAGGACCCCAAGTCTCTCCTTACACCCACAGGACTTTCTGGAAGTCACTGGAATTGGTGGTGGCAATCAGTCCCTCTCCAGAGCAACAGGACAAAGACCGAAGTAAGCGAGAATCCCGTACTCATAGGAGAGAGCGGCCACGATGGTAAAGCTACTTGTTGCTTCCACTCCACCTGTGCCTGCTCCATACCCTCCAACCTTGTGAAGGCTCTCAAAAAAAAATACAAAGCCAGGGGCGGCGGGGTGGCAGGGAGGGAGGCAGAGGGAGTCCACTTCCATTATTTTGTCTGGCAATAGTGCAACCTTTTGTCATTATTAATTCTAATCCATTAGATGCTGAATCGATTTTGCTTGCGTTCTCCCGTCAGGATCCCGCGCAGCACAGGCTTGCAACAGAACGCTGTTTAATCCTTTGCTGACACTTACATACACGTTCAACCTAAACGGGCTGAGTTACAACTCTTAACTACCTTAAAGCCGAGCAGAGGCCACCGTTGCGTGGCGCCTCGCCTTGAAGCACGTTTCTCTTCAACAGGTCACAGCATTCGGAGAAAGGTGCTGCGTATCCGCTCTCTCTTCAACGGAGCCCTAAGGCTTCTCCAACACCAGGGAACCCCTCTGGCTCTACCAGCTCAACCCGACTGCTTCGGAAACCACAGAACCACAGCTAAAAAAGAAAATAAATACATAGAACAAGTACCTGAAACGATTCCAAACGCCCAAATTATTTTAAAGCTCTCTCTGCTGCAAACTTTGGTCCCGTCCAGCTTTCGTTTAAATTTCATTAAGTTCGAAAACACTGCAAAGGGCAAACCTTCTCTTCACCGAGAAGAGGAAGTTTATTGTGCCCGTGGGAGCCGCCCCACAGAAAAGCAACGCGGGCTCCTTAAAACCCACCGACGGGACCTACACGGCGGAGAGTAACGGGACGCCGAGGCCCAGCC